ATACTTGACGTAAAACACAGTTACAAAACATTTAACTCAAAGGAGCTACTCCACTCACCAGCGGTAGCAGTCAGGAATTCCAGGAAATATCCCGTTTTACCATTAAATACATTTCTAGTATGTTAAGAGAGATAATACACTTTAGTCGTTAGCTTACATTTAGTGTGAATGGTTGAGCGGCGGGCCTAACCATTCTATTGGACCGTCTTTACAAGCCTTAGCAGGAATGGAGCGTAAGACAGGGCTTCATACAACTCCTTGGCCAAGCATCTTTTCAAGCCTTTTCAAGCCATTTCTAACCCCAACCCTAAGCTGTACATGATGTGAAAGAAAACGTGATTCCTCAGACCAAGCCACCTTCTTACTGCTCCACTGTCCTGTGCTGATGCTCATGTGCAGTTTCTATGAGCTTTTGATGGAAGAAACTGGCCAGCATAGCTAGTGTAGAGGCCACCATTTTCTTGGTTTTCGTCCCTGGTTGTCTAGTGGTAAGGATTCGGCGCTCTCACCGCCGCGGCCCGGGTTCGATTCCCGGTCAGGGAATGGTGTTTTATCCACCGCTGGCCAAATTAACATTTAAAAAGAAACCATATCACACAGAGAAATCCGTCCTTCGAGCCGCTCTACCAACTGAGCTATCGGAGGTGAAGCGAAGCTCAATCCATGTATATCTATAAAACCATTCGGTATATCGATATATAAGGTGCGAATTTATCCCAACTGAGCAAGCCACTAAGTGGTGACGGTGGCAAGGAAAAACTCCCTAAGATGTTAAGAGGAACAAACCTTGAGAGGAACCAGAATCAGAAGGGAACCTATCCTCATCTGGGTAACATCAGATAGTGTGAAAAAGATGATTATGGATTCATATGGAGTCTCTTTGGCCTTAGAAGCAGCTGTAGTCCCAGCAATCTGGAATTGGAGTAGATGAGAGCTCCATCCAGAGGTAGGCCATCCAAAATGGATCAGGTAGGTCCAGAGAGCAGAGGGGATCAGGATCTCTAGTATCTCCATAAAATCGGGTGTGGCTCGACAGAAGGAGGGAGGGAGAGAAAAAAAACTAGGACTGTGCTTAGCATAAGAGAAAGTCTAGTCAGGGTAGGCTTGATTAAACAAATACGATTAAAGCCTAGACACTGAGACTGTGCCTGAGTCCCGAACTCTAATTGGAAGACTGTTCCATAAGTGTGGGGCTCCAGAAGAGAAAGCTCATCCTCCTGTTGTAGCCTTCGCTATTCGAGGTACGAACAAATAGCCTGCATCTTTTGATCTAAGTAGGCGTGGCGGATCATAGAAAACCAAAAGTGTCGCTTAGATACCGCGCGCGCCCACCATTTAGTTAATTATGGGTTACTAATAGTATTTTATAATATAAAGTATTTTATAGTTATCTTTGATAAGTGAGCTAGCAAACGAGATCGATTTTCTATTCGAATTTTGCTCTTCACAAGCAAAGCGGCAAAGTGATTTAAGGAAACACTAGACTATTTTTTCTGGAGCCAATAAACGTGTTTGTGCATCTTTATATTCTCATGTTTCTGCCCTTCTTCAATACATTTACTTCAATTAAGTAACTAGACCATTTACAACTTTACATGTACACATTCGATTCAGTTCAAATCAATTTTATTTGTGTAGCGCTTTTTACAGTGGACATTGTCTCAAAGCAGGATTCGTTTGACTTCCTTTACGTCAATGCAATTTCCCAGGATGGAAGATGTGTTTGGCACGAGCTTGTTTGATGAATGCCAAGGTGCTTTGTTGCTCATCTTCATAAAGATTCTCTGCATTAAGACTCAGGTTCATAGCAGGCTTCAACTTGCACAGGTAAAGCCCCAGTGCAGTTCAAGTCCAGTGCCATATTCTGTTGGCCATCACGGGTATGGGGCACAGGACAAGGCTTAAGCGGCGGGCCTAACCATTCTATTGGACCGTCTTTACAAGCCTTAGCAGGAATGGAGCATAAGACAGGGCTTAAGTGCAACTCCTTGGCGCAAGCGTCTTTTCAAGCCTTTTCAAGCCATTTCTAACCCCAACCCTAAGCTGTACATGATGTGAAAGAAAACGTGATTCCTCAGACCAAGCCACCTTCTTACTGCTCAAGGGTGCAACGGTAAATACACATCATTTAATAATTGACGTAAAAACACAGTTACAAAACATTTAACTCAAAGGAGCTACGCCACTCACCAGCGGTAGCAGTCAGTAATTCCAGCAAATATCCTGTTTTACCATTTAATACATTTCTAGTATGTTAAGAGAGATAATACAGTTTAGTTGTTAGCTTACATTTAGTGTGAATGGTTGAGCAGCGGGCCTAACCATTCTATTGGACCGTCTTTACAAGCCTTCCAGGATGGAGCGTAAACAAGGCTTAATGCAACTCCTTGGCCAAGCCTTACAAGCCTTACCAGAATGGAGCGTAAGACAAGGATTAAGTCAACTCCTTCGCGCCTTTCAAGCCTTAGCAGGAATGGAGCGAAGACAGGGCTTAAGTGCAACTCCTTGGCCAAGCATCTTTTCAAGCCTTTTCAAGCCATTTTCTAACCCCAACCCTAAGCTGTACATGATGTGAAAGAAAACGTGATTCCTCAGACCAAGCCACCTTCTTACTGCTCCACTGTCCTGTGCTGATGCTCATGTGCAGTTTCTATGAGCTTTTGATGGAAGAAACTGGCCAGCATAGCTAGTGTAGAGGCCACCATTTTCTTGGTTTTCGTCCCTGGTTGTCTAGTGGTAAGGATTCGGCGCTTCACCGGCCGGGTGTCCGGGTTCCAATGGTGTTTTATCCACCGCGGGCCAAATTAACATTTAAAAAGAAACCATATCACACAGAGAAAATGCCCTTCGAGTCCGCTCTACCAACTGAGCTATCGGAGGTGAAGCGAAGCTCAATCCATGTATATCTATAAAACTATTCGGTATATCGATATATAAGGTGCGAATTTATCCCAACTGAGCAAGCCACTAAGTGGTGACGGTGGCAAGGAAAAACTCCCTAAGATGTTAAGAGGAACAAACCTTGAGAGGAACCAGAATCAGAAGGGAACCTATCCTCATCTGGGTAACATCAGATAGTGTAAAAAGATGATTACGGATTCATATGGAGTCTCTTTGGCCTTAGAAGCAGCTGTAGTCCCAGCAATCTGGAATTGGAGTAGATGAGAGCTCCATCCAGAGGTAGGCCATCCAAAATGGATCAGGTAGGTCCAGAGAGCAGAGGGGATCAGGATCTCTAGTATCTCCATAAAATCGGGTGTGGCTCGACAGAAGGAGGGAGGGAGAGGGAAAAAAAAACTAGGACTGTGCTTAGCATAAGAGAAAGTCTAGTCAGGGTAGGCTTGATTAAACAAATACGATTAAAGCCTAGACACTGAGACTGTGCCTGAGTCCCGAACTCTAATTGGAAGACTGTTCCATAAGTGTGGGGCTCCAGAAGAGAAAGCTCATCCTCCTGTTGTAGCCTTCGCTATTCGGAGGTACGAACAAATAGCCTGCATCTTTTGATCTAACTAGGCGTGGCGGATCATAGAAAAGCAAAAGGTCGCGCTAGATATCGCGGCGGCGACACCATTTAGTTAATTATGGGTTACTAATAGTATTTTATAATATAAAGTATTTTATAGTTATCTTTGATAAGTGAGCTAGCAAACGAGATCGATTTTCTATTCGAATTTTGCTCTTCACAAGCAAAGCGGCAAAGTGATTTAAGGAAACACTAGACTATTTTTTCTGGAGCCAATAAACGTGTTTGTGCATCTTTATATTCTCATGTTTCTGCCCTTCTTCAATACATTTACTTCAATTAAGTAACTAGACCATTTACAACTTTACATGTACACATTCGATTCAGTTCAAATCAATTTTATTTGTGTAGCGCTTTTTACAGTGGACATTGTCTCAAAGCAGGATTCGTTTGACTTCCTTTACGTCAATGCAATTTCCCAGGATGGAAGATGTGTTTGGCACGAGCTTGTTTGATGAATGCCAAGGTGCTTTGTTGCTCATCTTCATAAAGATTCTCTGCATTAAGACTCAGGTTCATAGCAGGCTTCAACTTGCACAGGTAAAGCCCCAGTGCAGTTCAAGTCCAGTGCCATATTCTGTTGGCCATCACGGGTATGGGGCACAGGACAAGGCTTAAGCGGCGGGCCTAACCATTCTATTGGACCGTCTTTACAAGCCTTAGCAGGAATGGAGCATAAGACAGGGCTAAGCTGCAACTCCTTGGCACAAGCGTCTTTTCAAGCCTTTTCAAGCCATTTCTAACCCCAACCCTAAGCTGTACATGATGTGAAAGAAAACGTGATTCCTCAGACCAAGCCACCTTCTTACTGCTCAAGGGTGCAACGGTTAATACACATAATTTAATACTTGACGTAAAACACAGTTACAAAACATTTAACTCAAAGGAGCTACGCCACTCACCAGCGGTAGCCAGTCTGTAATTCCAGCAAATATCCTGTTTTACCATTTAATACATTTCTAGTATGTTAAGAGAGATAATACAGTTTAGTTGTTAGCTTACATTTAGTGTGAATGGTTGAGCAGCGGGCCTAACCATTCTATTGGACCGTCTTTACAAGCCTTAGCAGGAATGGAGCGTAAGACAAGGCTTAAGTGCAACTCCTTGGCCAAGCGCCTTTTGCTTCCTTTCAAGCCATTTCTCAACCCCAACCCTAAGCTGTACATGATGTGAAAGAAAACGTATTCCTCAGACCACCCCCTCCACGAGTAGCACTTATTGCTGAAATCAGTGCTTCTATTTCAAGTAATGTAATGGTGTTTTATTTGGAAAGTATTGGCTATACCCGAGCATGGTCCACGACGCTGTAGCTTATGTGTGTCAGGATGGCACTGTGCATAGAAAGAACCAACTCCACTGCTTTGTTGCCGAAATACCTGAGCAGGGTCCCTAAGTGAAGCCTATACATTTCTCAAACAAATTGCATGGGGATAATGCGTAGACATTGGTCGACGATGAAGCAAGGCTGTTTTATGTAGTTGTGCCGCAGTGGTTATGGCGTGGACTTGAAATCCATTGGGGTCTCCCTGCGCTGGTTCAAATCCTGCCAACTACGTCTGGAGTTTGGTTTGCCATTCAGGCAGGCCAGTACAGGGAATAGCAATGGTGACAATCTTCCTCAATGAAACTTCATGTGCATTTATTGCTGTTCACAGTTGTTACATACCTGCATGAGAATTTGCCAATGGAATGCTTTTCATTCTGAGTAACCTGAATTTTCATATTTCATATTATTGCTGTTGCTGAAAGATATCAAAGCTTTCAGAAAATCACATTAAAACTGAAATATATGTGATACAATCAAGGTAACACCCAGAGATACATTGCAGCAGTCACAGAAGACAGTAAAGTCAAATACACAGATGAGACCGCCCCAACGGGTAGCACTCATGTATGTATTGTAAATCAAGTTTCTCCTATTTGAAGCAATCGATGTGAATGAACCAGGTGATTCACACGTTGACAGGCAGTTATCACTCTAGATTGAGAGTAGGTACACAGCCAAATGATGCTCTCACTGATGTATTAAAAGGTATTGCTCTAAGAGATTTCAACACATGTTTCACTAAAGATATGTGCAAGAATTTGAATAAATGTGTAAAGAGAAACACTTTAGTTAGAATCTCGACTACAATGAATGTGATTATAGTTTCACACTCCACATTCGTGGTGTCCAAATTCACTGAAAGTTGCCCCAGCTTGTTAGCACTTACTTCAAAACTGCAGTAAATGTGCTACAATTAGTGTGACTTTCAGCAGAGAAACATTGCAGGACTCACACAAAGTAAGTAATGTCAAATACACAGATGAGACTGCCCCAAAGAGTAGCAGTTATTGATGAAATCAGTGCTTCTATTTCAAGTAATCTAATTGTGCTTTATTTGGAAAGTATTGGCTATACCCGAGCATGGTCGACATGGGTCTAAAGGGCTGCGTTCAGGTAGCAGTCTCCCTGATTGGTCACTAAGACCAATCATAATGTAGTCCCTCTTTGCATGCTAAGATATTTAAATAGATCACCTGAAAGTTCCCTGCATATTGTAGATGCTTACAAACAGTTTGAAGCTTCTTTTTGCCACACTGTGGTTAATAAATGTTCATTGCTGCCAATTCTAGGCTTCAAATGATAGCACAGGCTTGATTTCATGGCAGTAGACGGTTGCCAAGGGAACCAACTCCGCTGCTTTGTTGTGGTGTTGCCGAAATACCGGAGCAGGGTCCCTAAGTGAAGCCGATACATTTCTGAAACAAAGTGCATGGAAAGACTTTTATGTAGTTGTGGCCGAGTGGTTAAGGCGATGGGCTTGAAATCCATTGGGGTCTCCCCGCGATGGTTCAAATCCTGCCAACTACGTCTGAAGGTTGTTTTGCCATTCAGGCAGGCCAGTACAGGGAATAGCAATGGTGACAATCTTCCTCAATGAAACTTCATGTGCATTAATTGCTGTTCACAGTTGTTACATAGCTGCATGAGAATTTGCCAATTGAACAAATGGAATGCTTTTCATTCTGAGTAACCTGAATTTTCATATTTCATATTATTGCTGTTGCTGAAAGGTATCAAAGCTTTCAGAAAATCACATTAAAACTGAAATATATGTGAAACAATCGGGGTAACACCCAGAGATACATTGCAGCAGTCACAGAAGACAGTAAAGTCAAATACACAGATGAGACCGCCCCAACGAGAAGCACTCATGTATGTATTGTAAATCAAGTTGCTCCTATTTGAAGTAATCGAATTGTGGTTTCTTTTGAAAGTATTGGATGTTGTCCAAACTGTTTAACGTTTAATACATTGTAATCAAATATATGGTATCTTTAGTTGCTTGAATCACCCAAAAATCACCCCAACAAATAGTACTTACCATTCAGGAAGGTCAGAGCCATTGATAGGATATCAACTGTGACAATAAGACAGAGAGGTGGTCTTCTTCTTTGCATCTTCTCCTGCCATGTTTACCACAACAAATATAATCTCTCCATGCCTGCTATCCTAGAAGTTGTCCACTGAGAGTTTACCAGTGACCACATTTTCATTCTTTTTCATTTGTTGAGGGTCACTAAGACCAATCATAATGTAGTCCCTCTTTGCATGATAAGATATTTAAATAGATCACCTGAAAGTTCCCTGCATATTTTAGATGCTTACAAACAGTTTGAAGCTTCTGTTTGCCACACTGTGGCTAATAACTGTTCATTGCTGCCAATTCTAGGCTTCAAATGATAGCACAGGCTTGATTTCATTGATAGGATATCAACTGTGACAATAAGACAGAGAGGTGGTCTTCTTCTTTGCATCTTCTCCTGCCATGTTTACCACAACAAATATAATCTCTGCATGCCTGCTATCCTAGAAGTTGTCCACTGAGAGTTTACCAGTGACCACTTTTTCATTCTGAGGGGCCTGAGTCAAGTGATGTTCATTTCAATGCTTGGAGTCTGATCATAACTTGAGATGATTCACAGTCCAACCCACAGAAGCCAATGTGACAATAGAAGTGATGATGGCAGATCACTCCATGTGAATGAACCAGGTGATTCACACGTTGACAGGCAGTTATCAGTCTAGATTGAGAGTAGGTACACAGCCAAATGATGCTCTCACTGATGTATTAAAAGGTATTGCTCTAAGAGATTTCAACACATGTTTCACTAAAGATATGTGCAAGGAATTTTAATAAATATGTGTAAGAGAAACACTTTAGTTAGAACCTCAACTACAATGAATGTGATTATAGTTTCACACTCCACATTCGTGGTGTCCAAATTCACTGAAAGTTGCCCCAGCTTGTTAGCACTTACTTGAAAACTGCAGTAAATGTGCTACAATTAGGGTGACTTTCAGCGGAGAAACATTGCAGGACTCACACAAAGTAAGTAATATCAAATACACAGATGAGACTGCCCCAAAGAGTAATAGTTATTGATGAAATCAGTGCTTCTATTTCAAGTAATCTAATTGTGCTTTATTGGCTATACCCGAGCATGGTCGACGATGGTCTAAGGCGCTGCGTTCAGGTAGCAGTCTCCCCTGGAGGCTTGGGATCAAAACCCACTTCTGCCATTTGGTTCCTTTGCTGCACCTCTGTTGAGGCGATATTGGTCTGTTTCTGAGAGCTTGTTAAAAGAAATGCATAGCTTTTTGGCAAATTTGCATAACTTTGAGACAGCTAGTCCGGATGGCCGAGCGGTCTAAGGCGCTGCGTTTAGGTCGCAGTCTCCTCTGGAGGCGTGGGTTCAAATCCCACTTCTGACATGCACTTTGTTGAGGGTCACTAAGACCAATCATAATGTAGTCCCTCTTTGCATGATAAGATATTTAAATAGATCACCTGAAAGTTCCCTGCATATTTTAGATGCTTACAAACAGTTTGAAGCTTCTGTTTGCCACACTGTGGTTAATAACTGTTCATTGCTGCCAATTCTAGGCTTCAAATGATAGCACAGGCTTGATTTCATGGCACTGTGCGTAGACGGTTGCCAAGGGAACCAACTCCGCTGCTTTGTTGTGGTGTTGCCGAAATACCGGAGCAGGGTCCCTAAGTGAAGCCTATACATTTCTGAAACAAAGTGCATGGAAATACGTTCAGACTTTTTATGTAGTTGTGGCCGAGTGGTTAAGGCGATGGACTTGAAATCCATTGGGGTACAGGGAATAGCAATGGTGACAATCTTCCTCAATGAAACTTCATGTGCATTAATTGCTGTTCACAGTTGTTACATACCTGCATGAGAATTGAACAAATGGAATGCTTTTCATTCTGAGTAACCGGAATTTTCATATTTCATATTATTGCTGTTGCTGAAAGGTATCAAAGCTTTCAGAAAATCACATTAAAACTGAAATATATGTGAAACAATCGGGGTAACACCCAGAGATACATTGCAGCAGTCACAGAAGACAGTAAAGTCAAATACACAGATGAGACCGCCCCAACGAGAAGCACTCATGTATGTATTGTAAATCAAGTTGCTCCTATTTGAAGTAATGGTGTGGTTTTTTTTCAAAGTGTTGTCATTGTGTGTTGTCAAATTTTAACGTGTTAATACATTGTAATCAAATATATGGTATCTTTAGTTGCTTGAATCACCCAAAAATCACCCCAACAAATAGTACTTACCATTCAGGAAGGTCAGAGCCATTGATAGGATATCAACTGTGACAATAAGACAGAGAGGTGGTCTTCTTCTTTGCATCTTCTCCTGCCATGTTTACCACAACAAATATAATCTCTCCATGCCTGCTATCCTAGAAGTTGTCCACTGAGAGTTTACCAGTGACCACATTTTCATTCTTTTTCATTTGTTGAGGGTCACTAAGACCAATCATAATGTAGTCCCTCTTTGCATGATAAGATATTTAAATAGATCACCTGAAAGTTCCCTGCATATTTTAGATGCTTACAAACAGTTTGAAGCTTCTGTTTGCCACACTGTGGCTAATAACTGTTCATTGCTGCCAATTCTAGGCTTCAAATGATAGCACAGGCTTGATTTCATTGATAGGATATCAACTGTGACAATAAGACAGAGAGGTGGTCTTCTTCTTTGCATCTTCTCCTGCCATGTTTACCACAACAAATATAATCTCTGCATGCCTGCTATCCTAGAAGTTGTCCACTGAGAGTTTACCAGTGACCACTTTTTCATTCTGAGGGGCCTGAGTCAAGTGATGTTCATTTCAATGCTTGGAGTCTGATCATAACTTGAGATGATTCACAGTCCAACCCACAGAAGCCAATGTGACAATAGAAGTGATGATGGCAGATCACTCCATGTGAATGAACCAGGTGATTCACACGTTGACAGGCAGTTATCAGTCTAGATTGAGAGTAGGTACACAGCCAAATGATGCTCTCACTGATGTATTAAAAGGTATTGCTCTAAGAGATTTCAACACATGTTTCACTAAAGATATGTGCAAGAATTTTAATAAATATGTGTAAAGAGAAACACTTTAGTTAGAACCTCAACTACAATGAATGTGATTATAGTTTCACACTCCACATTCGTGGTGTCCAAATTCACTGAAAGTTGCCCCAGCTTGTTAGC